ACCACATGGATGCCCTTACCACATCACTTGAACACCAAAGTGGCCAAGACTTGGGCAAGATTCTTTATTTCTAATTGAAGTATAGTTGATTCACAATATTATATTAGTTTCAGGTGTACAACACAGTGATTCAATATTTTTACAGTTATACTCCATTTAAAGTCATTACAAAATAATGGCTGTATTTCCCAGTGCTGGACAATATGTTTGTTGCTTCAAGATTCTTGATAAGCATAAAACAGGATATTTAACCAAAGATAAGTAACTTTTTAAGAAACTATTATTTTAATATTAAATGCTTCCATATTTGCCTTCACATATCTTCCCTTACACTCCCTATCATTTATACAACCTGGTGTCTTAAGTTGGTAAAGAACAGCTTAAGGTTACTCCCCTTGACAGCTACTCCTTACAAGGCACCAAAATGTATAGACTTCTCAAAATGAGAAGAAAAAAAATCTCACCTTTTGGTAGCCTGATTTGATTAAATTATCCAAGATTACTAGGCATTCTCCAGCAAAGAACAATCCTGAACCTGACTTCCTAAGGACACTCCATTTTAGCACTGGCTAAACCATCCCTAGAACTCCAGAGCCATACTTTCTAGAATTTATCTGGCACTGGAGCCTTAAGTCAAAGCACTCATGAAAAGCTACATGTAACTTAGCTCCTCTTACCCACTAGTAATCTACATTCAAAGCTTTAAAAAGTCGCATCACTTTTTTTCTTCAACTCCCATTGTCATTGCTTTTATCCTTGTTTTCATATTTGAAAAAAATAGATCAGATACATAAGCTTTCCTCCAAAGCACACTTCTCTTATAAAACTCTTCCTTGATCAATAAAGCAACCTGTTCATAATAAAGCTATAAAAATACAAATTTAACAACTACTGATACATTATCAGAGATGCATTCATGGTGAAGTGGTTTTCTAATGGTGGTGATAGATTTTGGGTCTCTCACCTGGTTTCCTTTGGAAAGAAATAGTCTGCTGACAGAGAGCAAGATATCTAAATATATAGCATACAAAGCCTCTAAAATTTAAATATAGATTCAAAATACCCAGTTACTCAAATAGCTACTACTTAAAAATATTCCATTGCTATCATTTGGTAAAACTGTTATAGTGGATCCACTATATAAAAATCTAATTGTGATATCAGTAGGTAAGGTTGCTTAAAGTAATAAAGGCAACAGGTAGCAAAGACTGAAGCTAGCTTATGTGATCCAAAACAATCCATTTTCCAGTCCAAGATCATATGTAACAAGCTTAAGTAATTTAGAAAATGCTATTCCCACAGTTGACCTTTGAAGAGCCATTCCCTGCTTCTCAAATTTCTAATATTTAAAGACACAATTCAACCTTACAGACCCAATTATAAAATTAGCCTCTGACTCACAATGGTTAGAAGTTGGCTGGTGTAAGCTTCCCCCCACTCCCTAATTCAGGAATCTCTTTCATAAATTTCTGAGAGAAGACTATTTAAGCCCTTTTACACCATACGTTGAAAAGATCTCTAAACCTGGAAACACTGAGCTGGGTTCTAGCCCAGGGTCTGCCATTCACTATCTGAAATGTCTTGGGGTAAGCCATATCACTTCTACAGGCCTGTTTCTTCATGCATAACAAGTAGGGAGTGACAAGATGACCTCAAAGGTATCTTCCTGAAGTTACATAATTATGATTTCCAATGAAGTGTCACCATTTTAAGAAAAAATTCATTTCATCTTTACAGAGCTCCTACAGTTAGAAAGGACTTTTTAAATTTTCAGAGAATCACATTCTTCAACCCTGAAATTCCACTTCTTGAAATCTACCCTAGAAAAATGACCACATGTGCGTAGAAAACATCTATTAGCATTGTTTACAATAGTAATAAATTGAAAACATCCAATTATACCATACTGAAATAAATATAGTATGGCATAATACTATGGGATACTATACAACAGTTAAAAAGAATGAAGGAAACCATACACTCACTAATAAAAAAAAAAAACCTCCAAACCATACTGTTAATGAAAACAATTGCAGAACATGTACATTTTGATGCCATTTATGAAAGGCTATGAAGTTTTACACAGGGCTCTCTACAAAGAAAAAAATATTCTGGAACTGCACAGTCCAGTACAGTAGCTGCCAGCCACGCATGACTACTGATCCCTGAAATGCAGCTGCTGTGACTGAGAAACTGAATTTTAAATTTTATTTCATTTTAACTACTTTAAATTTAAATAGCAACATGTGGCTAGCGGCTACTGTACTCCACAGTACAAGTCTAGAAGAAAAATCTAAACTGATAACAGTGGTTAGTGACCTCTGGAGAGAAAACTAGATAGGAGAGTAGGGGGTGAACCAAGGGCAACTTTTGCTTTACGGGCATTATTTGAATATTTTAAAGCAAGTAATACTACTTACATAAAAGTAAAATTGAAAAAGAAAAAGCCCTATTGATATTGGGCCAAAAAATCTGCCTATGAACCACAGTAGAAAGAATTTAGTTTTCTTTTGCTGTTGCCATACCTGGAAAAAACTGAGCAAGTATGGTAGTTTGAGTCAACTTCCCTAAAAACATCTTTGAATCACATTTCCTCACGTCTCTCTCCCAAACTCTCTCCCCTCCACATCCCCCTTTTCTACAACTGTAGTAACTTCTGGTACAAAGGCCGCAGCAATACAATTATAGAAGTTATCGCCCATTATCAGGGGAGTAGGACATACTTTCTAATGGGGATAATGGATTTGTGCCTCTCTATGCAACAACTCTCTGGTACTGTAAAGAAAATTGTCATAGCTCCCTAAGTCTTCTCTTCTCCACGCCTAAACAAAGCCAGAAACTCTTCACCATCCAATGGCTCTACTGTGGCTCAAAACAACAACTCAGGATAGAAACACTTCTTAGAGACTTCCCTACTGGCATGGCATATTCACCCAGAGTCTCAGCCCAGACTTCCTAAAAACCTGGTCATTCACTTGTTCATCAATATTTACTGAGTGCTATTAAATGCCAGGCACTGCACTTAGGGGAGAAGATAGAACAATGAACACTATCTGTGTCACCAGAGCCTCTGCCCCCCAAAGCCTTATCCCCGAAAGTTCTACTTCAGTTGGTAAACACTAAAAAACTTCGATTTCAATTCATTCCAGGCAGTCTGACTCACTCTGTGCTGAATACCACCAGGACCATGAAAACCACACAGAGTATCTTTATCCAAGTTTCTAATACAAGTAATGGAAATCTATATAACATGTCTAAATACTCCAACACAATAGGTAAGTCCAATGAGTAATTTCCCCAAATGTCCCTTAGATCAGGTTTTCAACAGTCCCTAGCAAAAATGTGGAAAAGAACAATGTAGCAAATGAAATAAACTTATTCTATATAAGTCTCTTTATTATCAAATCATGTACTACCACCTTTTTTTTCTTTCTTTTGTTTTTGTATTAATATTCTCTATTTCATGAAATAATAATGGTTTAGGTAGAAAGTGGGAAGTACCTGGTTTTTGTTTTGTTTTTAAACAGTTTTACTTACCAAACAAGACAGCAATCAAACCTCTATACCAAGTATTCGTTGATATTTAATTTGTCCATGTCATCCACTAATTTAAAAGGTTCAAGAATGTTTCCTCCGCCCTAAAATGCACACCCTGAACATATAGAGGTGGCAATTACTCCTCCAAAAATACACCTCTGTAAATTAAACAATTACATTTGGACACAAGGAAAAGGTAAGCTTTCCCACTCCTTTCCTATATTATTTACAAAAATATTAATATCACAATAAAACAGACCCAAACACACAGGATTACAAATACGCAAAAAGTCTAATCAAAGTATATTGTTGACAGTATATAATTATACTGTCAACAATTATAATTGATGACACTTACTTCAGTAACAATAAAAGTAGCCAAATTCTTATCTAGGTTTTTCTATCTAGTCTTAAATATCATCCACACTGAGTAACCGGGTTTATATTTATTAAGCTTCAGAAAGCTGCAGATGTGGGGGTGGGAGAGAAGAGAGAAAATGAGGGAAAAAATAACTTTTTAATAATAGCTTACTACAAACTATCACATAACTAAGTGACTAGCACTAGCATTGACAAAATTGCAAATTTTACTTAGTAGTTGCGAGACAAGGCTCCCACAAGACACCTACCTCTTCCCCACTCATCTATCCCCCAACAAAAAATACATTTGTCCTTACCTTCTGGTAATCTGTATGCTTTTATGTAAGGGTTAAAATGTAATACAGCACAGCATAAATAAAGGGGTTTTCAAGTCAGGCAGGCCTAAATTCCCCAGATCTGCCCCTTACTGTCTGTGTGTGACCTTGGGCAAGTCATTCAACCTCTTCAAGCCCCACTAGACTGTAAGCTCCGTAGGAGCAAAGACCACTTCTGCCTGACTTACTACTGTAGGCACATGGCACTGAAATATCAGTTTCTTCTTGTATAAAGTAAGGATGTTAACAATATTTCTCTCACAACGTTAACTGAAGGATTAAATGAGATATTATGTATATAAAGCTCTGGCACAGTGCCTGATCATGGTAAATGATCAATAAAATTAACTGTTTTTGACATCAACTAGCAGCTATCAAACCTGAAAATACTGTTTGAAGACTTTCAAACACTAATATACAAAGTCTTCACCCAGTCAGTGTAAACTGCTCAAGTGATAAAACAATATTTCACACAAAACTTACGAATAGTTTCTAAACCACTGGCCTGGGAATCTAATAATAGATGAACCCTGAATTATGCGCAACAGACCCAAGCTATTAAAAGACATTTAGTACACTCCAAGTTTTTCTACTTCAATAATATGCCATAGGCATCCTCCCCAGTGGCTTCCCAATCTCCCCTTCGGACGTCTCCGGCTGTCAGGGAACCCCCTCCTCCGTGCTTAGAGGGAGGAGAGAGAAAACCTCCGAGGCGGGGGCCGGGGTTGGGGGACAGCGCGCATCCCCGCGCCACTCGCCCGGACCCACCTTGAGCAGGATGGATGGCGGCAGCTGATTGATGTCTGGGGTTTCGGGGGATGGCTCCCTATGACAGTCGCACGGATTTTCGGGGGTCTCCTGACAGTCCGCGTCGCCGCATTCGTGGTGCTGCTGGGCGGGCGAGGGGGCGGTGCCCCCCGCTCGGACGGCGTTCCCACTGGCCTCTGTGGGGGCACCTTCCGAAGTGGGAGAGGAGCGCTGGGAGCAGAGAGGCTGCGGTGGCTGCTCTGGGCCCTGGCAGCAGCCGGCGTCGGGGGGCCGCGGCGGCGAGGCGCCTCCCCCCGCAGGTCCTCCTCCTCCTCCGCTGCCGCCGCCGCCGCCGCAGGCCCCCCCGCCACAGCGGGGCTGCTTACAGGGGGTGCAGGCGGGGACCCCGGCCCCCTTCCGCTTGCACACCATCTCGGGAGGCGTCGGGGGCTCGGCCGGCGGCGGCGGCCCCCGGAAGAGCTGCACGGCGGCAGGCGGCCCCAGGAAGCGCACGGGCCCCAGGCTGGCCAAGAAGAGGCTCCGGCCCTGCTGTTCCCAGGCGGCTGCCGCGGCCAGCCCCAGCTCTTTGCAGCAGGAGGCGGGCGACGAGGCCGAAGCAGCGGCAGCGGCGGCGGCGGCGGCCGAGGATAGCAGGAAGCGGCGGGCGGCGGCGGCGCAGTCCTCGGCGGCCAGAGCCGCGTAGCGTCGCGCCAGGTGCTGCGAGGAGGCGGCCGCGGCGTAGGCCCCGTCCCGCGGCGGCGGCGGCGAGAGCGGCGGCTCCTCCTCTGGGCCGGCGGGGGCGGGCGCGCCGGGGCTGTGCACGATGAAGCAGAGCATGCAGGGCCCGCGGAAGAAGCAGTCCCGGCTCCGGGGCGCCGCCGGCTGGGGGGGCGCCTTGGCCGGGGTCCGGCGGGGCAGCCTGAGGAGAGGGCGGCGGCGGCGGCACCAGCTGCAACAGCGAGGCCTCTTCTGGCTTGGGCGGTTACGCGGCTCCTTCGAGAGAAGGTGGCCCATATAGAAGGCCCCGAGGAGGGGGACCGGGATAGAGAAGTAGGGAGGCCCGGACAGCCGGGCTCCCGGCAGCGAGGCAGGCCCCTCTCTGGCTGGGCCTCGGGCCCGCGGCGGGCGGCGGGGTCGCCCGCCTTGCGCACACACACGCACACACACGCACACACGGGCACACACGCGACGGTGGGGGGGTGGGCGTCAGCTGCGGGCCGGCCTGGCGCCGGATGGGGGCTACATGCTTTGCCCCGGGAAGCCGGGAGAACGATGGGCGCGAGCTTTGGGGACGCGACGGAGGGAGCGAGCCTGCCGGCTCAGTCAGTCAGTACGGCTGCAGGGGGAACGCGGGGTCCGGCTCGGACCATTTTAACTGCGGCTCTGCTGGCGGCGCGCGCGCCCGCGACACAGCTCGGAGCCGCAGGAGCGCGCGACCTGCTCGGGGAGGGGGCGGAGCCGCGGCAGCGGCGCGCTCGGGGCGGGGGCGCGGGCGCGGGCGCCCGGCTGCTCACCCGGGACGGGTGGGGACTGCTGGGAAGCGGGGTGGCGAGGGTGCGGGGCTCGCGGGGAGCTGCGCGCGCCCTTCCCTCCCATCGCCCAAGGTTTCGCGTAGCCCACGCCCCTTTTGTGGGGCGGGAGGAGACGCTTCCGAGCCAGCTGTGTGGCATCCGTTTGCACTGCCGCGCTGACGTCTCTAGGTATAAGTTCAAGGACTGCCATTGGCCGGGAGCCGCTCGGCTCTTTCTTTCACCCCCACCTCCCGACTCGGAGACCCGGGCCACGAAGAATAGGTAAACTCGATTCCGGCTGAAGGCCGACTTGGGTCCCCGGCGGCCCCTCGGGTGGAGTGGCAGATGCGCGGCCCTGGGCTGGTGAGGACTCTAGTTCTCACGTAAGGAGCTAACAGCAGGTAGTGCGGCACTGCAGTGCTTCTCCACTTGTTTGCATACTTGTTGCTTGTGACAGACTACTGACTTTCCATAACTTTATTTCAGAATGAAAGCATATATCAAATTATTTATACACACCAGAAAGATAAACAGTTTTTTCAACCCAGTTAGTCATCCAACATCCCAGGCTGCAAGCTATGGAGGACTTTATCGTCTGCACCCTCCAAGTCCCATCTATCCATCCATCAGGTACAGTACTTTAAAAATGACTATGCAGTGCCTAAGATAAAAGGTTCTAGGCAGACTTGGGAGACCCAGATGAAAAAGAGGAAATAGTCTTGGCAGACAACCCTTTAGAAGATTTGCCTACAATGAGACCAGAGAAAGAAGGCAATAACTAGGAGCAGTACCTGGTGTTGAGAGAAGGTTAGTTTTCACAAGGGAGAAATCGGGAGAGGCTTTTGCAAGGAAGTGGACATGCTGATGGGAATGAGCCAATATAAAGGAGGAAGAAGGGAAATGAGAAGAGCTAATACAACAAGGCCCCTGAGAAGATGGAGTGACGATTACCTTGGGAGGGATACCGTCTTCACTGTGACTGGAAGGAAGGAGGAAAAGATAGATCAAGGTTGAATACAGATAGGTGGATATTTTTGGCAAGAAAGTGAAAGAGTTCCTTTCAAATGGTCTCTACTTTAAGTGGAGCCTGGTTACATACTGAAGGGTGGAAGGTGGCCGATGTTTTTAAAAGTTACTAAGGGTAACTGAGAGAACTGACTGAGGAAGCAGTATTGCAATATTCAAGGCCTGTCAGCATAGAAACCTTTGTTTGAGCATGCCTGACTTTCCCACCACAGTGGCCAGCCTCACCCCACCACCCAACGTACCATCAAACCTTTGCTAATAGAGGCCTCTTTGTCAGGAATCACTTTTATTTTTGGTCTGCCAGCATTCAGGGATCTCCCTTTCTCAGCTTAAGAACAGTGAGATGGAATTCCAAGAAACCTAGAGGCAAAGATTCATCAAAGGGTTTAACATACATTTTATCAAGGCACTGCCCAAACTACATTTACCTGCGGGTATTATCCACACAGCTTTCATCCCTCTGACTTTAAAGGATTCTTTCAGGGCCCCAGAGCTTCACTGGTGAGGAAGGGAGGTTAGGAGTGACAGGGCTACCTGAGGCCTTATAACAGATCCTTTGCATCTCTTCCAGGCTACACTTTGAGCAAAAGGAGAGTGTGTTCTAAGCCTTTTTATTATTCTCTCTGTGTCAAAATTGTGGACCCATTAGCTTCATATAAATTAAACACACATTATGACCTAGCAATTCCACTTATAGGTATTTATCGAAGAAAAATAAAAGCTATACACACAAAAAGACTTGTGCAAAATGTTCATAGCAGCTTTATTCATGATAATTAAAATCTACAAACAACCTAGATGTCCATCAGTAGAAGAATGGCTAAACTGGTATGCTCGTTCGATAGAACACTACTCAGCAATTAAAAGGAAGGGAGGGAGGGAAACAACATGAAGGAATCTCAAAAAATTTAGGCTGAATTAGACCCTGGAGTTGGAGGCCTAGAATTTTTACCTGATTTTAACAAGCTCCCCATGTGATTACTACACAAACACCCTGGCACCATGCAGACCTATCAGAACTACACATAAAATCTAACTACAGCTTCTTGTTTTCAGAGGTGAGGCAAGTGACTCTGAGACTTTTGAAGTGGTTTCTGAAATATACAGCACTGGTTCTTCCAATTCCAGAGCCATTCAGCCACAAGCAGGTGGCTGCTGTACCACAGCATGTACCAGAGGGTTTCGTATGTTTTAATAAGAATTAAGCTACTACTATTGCCACCAGAGCTATAATGAGCTTTAGAACTCATTACCCTAAGTGATAATACTGATAAGTATTCTAAATATTCAGGAGACAGAATTATGAGTAAGAGTAATAAATTGCAATTTAGAGATAATTATAGCACTGGATGGCCTTTTTAATGAGAAAAAGGAAAGCAGCCTGAACAACCAGGAGCTGGCCTGGAACTATTTGCTAGGCCTTGGTGTTACTGGCATTCTCAACTAGGTTTGAGTGTTCTGTTGTACAAAAACAATCTCACAAAACATCAACATCGAACATGGCCACTCTGTGATCATAACAGACAAGAAAAAAATAAGATGTCGCTGTAATCATGTCTGAACACAACCAACACAAGAACACTCCAAACCACAAAAATGACCAAACATTCTGCCTAATATAAGTGATTACTGTTTCTTGACCAATTACAACCTAAGCCTTGCTCCACTCTTCCTACCTTCTAGATAACAATTATTAAAATATCCAATCATAGAATAACCTCTGCTTCCTGACAGCATCCAATCCAGAGCAAAGCCTTAAACCTTCCTCAAAATCACCAAGCACAAGCCCAATCCTTTAAGTCTTTTACACCTTTTTATTGAGACTCTCCACAATTCCTCACATGTGCTATGTGCCTTTTTGTAACAAGTCAGTAAACTCAACTTGGTTCAACTATGGGTGTGCTCCTGTTGGTCTTTGGCTGGAGAGCATTAACATTTGTTATAATCAAATGTCACCACCCTGTCTAAAATTACTCCCTCTTTATGCTGTACACCTTAAATTTTATAGTGCTGTATGTCAATTGTATCTCAATTAAACAAATAAAATTACACCTTCCTTTACTTTTCCTCTTACAGTGCTTTTATTTTCTTTATATCTCATTAGCACGTGTCTGTTTTGTCATTTTTTTCACTTTTAGTCTCTAGTGGAAGAGTGTAAACTCCATGAGGACAGGGACTTAGCTCAGTTTTTAGGAAGATAATCTGGCAACTGTATAGAAAATGGACTAAAGTAGGAAGAGGCTCTTAGCAGGAAGACCAGTTAAGACTGTTTGAAAGATCAATGGATGGGCCTTAAAAGCATGAATTAAGGCCAGCATGGTGGAGATAATGAAGTAGGGGTGGGATTGAGAAAGATTTTTTATGTGGAGTTTTCAGGATTTAGTAACTTACTTATGAATTAGGTAGAGAGGAGGGGATGATAGATAGGGAAGAAATGAAGAACCCCAGAATAGCAACATGTATATTCATATGACTTATTTCAGTGTATAACATTGTGGTGAAATAATGGATTCTACAATATAAAATATTTAGATATTTGAATAAAATTCAAACCTGGAGTAGATATGTATTATAACATAGATTCACACTGAAAGCCAGCACATAAATTTAAAATGTTGAAAACAGTTTAAAATAAAAGCCTTTTCTTTCTTTGCTGATATAGAATATACGTACTCACTTTGAAATTCACATTTGCCTATAAAAACACACCCACGTATAAAAAGCTTTCATGCTTACAGTTGGCTAATGATGGTTGTTATTAATGGCTAAAACATCCTAGGGCACCAGTGATGTAAGTAGAGATCAGTTAATGTGCCATTGGTCCCACTGATTGTGGTAGGTGCAATGGATGACCTAGAAGGACACTCTGGGGGCAGAAGACATTGTTTATGCATCTGGAAATCATGCAAAACCCCAAGTGTTCAATAAATTTAATCCATTATTGAATTGCGTTTTTGCTGCAATACTCAAAGCCAAAGATAGAGATAACTTAGCAAGCTTTCAGAGAATTCCCTTAAGGAACTGATCTGTACTCTTTAATAGTTTGTTTCAGGCACAATATAAAAGTGCAACTGGTACCTCACTGGTTTTCCCTCAGTTCTTCCCATGACTGATTCGTGCTCATCTTCCAGGTCTCAGCCCAGGTACCACCTCCTGTCACAAAAGCTTTTCCCTGGTGTCATACCACCCTGTTCATTTCCTTTACAGCAGTTACCAGAGTCTGCAGCTGTGGTATTTTCTTTTAGTATTAGTTGACTATCACCAGAATTAAGGCCTACTTTGTTTACCCTTGAATCACCAGCACCTAAAGTCGCTAATCAGTTGCACTTTAAAGGGAAATTATTCCGGGTGGGCCTGATGTAGTCATGTGAAATCTTTAAAGACTGTCTGGAAGTCAGAATAAAGGAGATTCAAAGCAGCAGCAGTTGCTTTACCTTTGGCCTTAAAGAAGCAAACTCTCACGTTGAGGGAGGGCTGCACCTGGCTGATAGCCAGTGAGAAGGCTAGCCCTCCATCCTACAGAATTCTGAATTCTGCCAACAAATGCATAAGCATGAAAGGAGAGCCCGAACAACAAGGGAGCACAGCCCCACTGATGCCTTGATTCCAGCCCCACGGGAAC